TATATATATATATATATATATATATAATTAGATAGATAGATAGATAGATATATAGATTACAAATAGATTACAATACATACTTATAGGCAAGATAGATATATATTGGCTTTCTGGTATGTATGGTTAGGGGATGATCCGTTGTATTAAGCTAGCACGAAAGCAAAGGTCAGTCCAAATGTATCTTAATAGACTGTGTCTTAAATGGAGTGTGCCTCCTTTGATGGCAGCTTGCTATTGCTTCTCTCATTACCATAGAGACCCTAACGTGCCATGCTGATGCACCATAAAACTCACACTTTCAACCCCAAAACCAGACCCCTTTGAACAACCCGAACTTGATTAGGCTTTTCTTCCATTCTTCTCCCTTAAAAACCATTTCCTTGCCTTTTGAAACTTGGCCATCAAATCAAAATGAATTCTCTGATCACTGAAGAAAGCCCAAACAAAAGTTTCCTGACGCCTCAATTCAGGCGGCTCCTTTTCTTCCCAACATTATTATCCATTTTTATTATGATCTGGAACAAGTGCCCCATTCGCGTGTTTTTTGTTTACTGGAAATTAAATGAAAATGATTTAGCTGGAGTCAAACAAAAATATATACGTGTACGCACAAGAGAAAGGCTTCTTTGGACGTAAATATTATGTCCTGGATGAAAAGAGTGGAGAGACTCCAGACTTAGCCTTTCAAGAATTAAGTATGACTTGCCTATTGCCATAGAAATACTAACTTACCATGAAGATCCACCGTTCAGAAGAATACTTCTTTGTAGGGAGAGATGCTTTGATGTCTAAAGCATAATATTCAAGCTTTCAGCTGTGACTGTCTAGATTACCTTGAGAGCAACAGGGCAGACATCTGTAACAAGGAAATGAAAAATTAAAGGTGATTAGCCTATAGAAGCAAACAGTTTGAGAAATTCACACCCCAAAGACAAGAATGGGAAGCAAATCTTATCTCTCATATGCAAAGTGCTGTGCAGATGCTCAGCATACATTTTCCATTCGTGGCAAGCGAGCAGGCACCATTTGGAGAGGAGGAAAGGTGAAGTTTGGGAGTTCTGGCTGGGCCAGTTTAACCAGCTGATTCTGCTCCTGTAGATGCAGCTCCATCACTTTATAGAACACATACAGCAAAGCCAGCTTCTATAGTTTATAGAGTAATAATGCTCTTTGAACAGCCAAGCCAACAAAAAAACATTTGTGCAGTCCATATAGGCAAATTTCGCTGGCTGAAAACCTTGGGCTCAACATTGGGCTCAAGCTTAGATTTTTTTTTTTCAATTTCCCCCTAATCTGATAAAATCAATTAGAGTTTACAAGGCCAGTTTGAATATTACTAATTTACATAAAGCCTATTAAACCCTCTGTATTATGGAGATATTTTACTGCTCACAATACATTTCCTGGCAAATTATCTCAAAGAAGGGTGTTGCATAGTTCCCTTCCGAGCCTCCCTCCAGCCTTAAATGGTGGATAACATATAGTACAAAACTAAATGGGGGATAAGGTATGCTATTACAGTATACAAACTCTATATTATATGCTGGTATAGCGGAATAGTGGACCCTTAATATGGGCACATTACATTAAATGGCCCTATGCTCTGAGGTTTATGCTCTGAATTATGCTGCCTTGAGCTGAATTATGCACCCAATGGATAAAATAATGCTCAAGGTTTCCTTCGGTGCTGCCTAAAGATCTAGGCACTTGGTCATGTACTCTCTGTTGACAAGGAGAATCAGAATTCCTACTGGCTTATGCTTACGTTCAGCATCATGTGTGGCCAACACTGGAGGGAGGCTAGAGCAGCATTTTCCCCAGCCCCTGTGTTGTCATTTCTTTACCCCCTTACTGCTTTCATTGTCTTTATACTAATAGTTGAGAGTTGTCCTTACTCTCTAGTGCATAGTACACCACAGTTTGACTTTAATAGAAAGCACCAATTCAGGTTTCCTTGGTACAAAAAAAAATGTTTATTTTACAGTACATGAAATATGTTCTTGCAAGTCGCCCCTTTTTTGAAAAATCAGTAACACGTCACAAACATGTCTGATAACTCTGTCTGTACAATAACATTATTTGAACATCACCATAAACACCGCTGGCATTAAAAGGAAAAGGACGGTTTTTAATAAAATAATTACACCTTCTGTAGCACAGTCCATGTGGCCAGCTTTGGTCTCTTTACATCCAAAAAAAGAAATATATACACCAGTCTGATCGCTCCGTATATACATTTGACTGACCATGACAACTAATAAAATACTTTTTGTTGTTCTTTTATACAAACCAGTAACAAAAGAATGACAAGTTTATAAAAGCACTAGCACTGCAGCTAACAAAGATCTCAGAACACCGTGGGAGGGTGCATTTCAGACACGAGTGGGCAGCGTTTGGGAACCCTCAAAAAAATGACTTTGGCTCATTGATAGGGATTATCCTGATGGATGAACAGTAATCAGATAGAGTTGTAAAATCTCATTGTGCTTTCTGATTAAACACGGGATGGGCAGAATTTTATTTGTCCTCTTGTAAGGTTTAAAGACTCATTCACACACATATAGCATTGATTTTGTGCTCACGTCCACTGTGCATTTATGCTAGCCACCAGTCACATTAGCCCACTCCCTAATCCATTACAGGCACAAACAAGGGCGATCACTTCAGTCATTATAAAACACAGTATTTCTCATTTAGTAAACCTCAAGCAAGTTGCACTGGGCTGAGATCAGTCCTAGTAATTCGGTCTAGAGTCACAGTTGTTGTAGGAGGCCTTTCGATGCTCGGGTGAAGGCGTGTGGCTAGGGGGAGTAGGGATGCCAGTTGCCCCTGAGCTTTGGCACACATACCATTCACTCAGGTTGGCCTGGGTGGAGGACAAACGCTCAGGGTGAGAAGAGGTGGCTGCAGGGTCATGTCCTGAATCAGAGGAAGGGGACACCAGGGAAGGGATGGACGATTCATAGCCTGAGCTGGGAGGTGGAGATTTGCAATGCACTTTCATGTGTTTCCTCAATGAGCTGGGGTGGGTGTACGATTTGTCGCAGCCTCTCACTTTGCAGTTATACGGCTTGTCGCTGGTGTGAACATGGGAGTGCTTCTTTCTGTCGCTGCTGTTGGCAAAGCGTCTGTCGCAGCCTTCAAACTCGCACTTAAAGGGTTTCTCACCTAAAAGACAAAGCACAGCACGTAAAAATTTAAAGAACCACATTCATCTTACAGCAGCCAATTGAAACAATCATAATTTGACACTTCCTGCATTCATTATACATTCCCCAGATCGCCATATTGTTCAGCTACTCCCCCCAACAAATATGTTGGCGCAACTGTGGACATGCGCTTTTTATGTGTCCATTGGTAAGTATTTCATTAGAAGGATGATGTAAATTAGCATTTGTAATATATTATGCATCCCACCTAGCATGCACTTCCACCACAAGAATGGGGCTTAGAACAGACTAACCAAATCATACTTCCCCAAGCGGAAAAGAAGCATTGAAACTGGGGAGAAGAAAATGAGCAGAAAACAGGAGTTGTTGCTAAGAGCAATCAGGTTGGGTTCTGCAATCAAGTTTCATCTTAAGGGAAAAATGAAATATAAATTCATGATGGTTGCTATAGCAAGTTCTAGTTTTGTGATTTTTGTTCCCTACGGTTTGGTAAATCAGACCCAGCGTGACTATATGAGATCCATCCAAGTTGCTCTCTGACCACAGGCAATGACATTGAAAAGATCAGTGATATGTTCCTGCCCCAAGCACGGTACAATGTTGGGAGTCATACATGTGGACTGCACTGAATAGTACAAATAGACAGTAACCTGTAGCAACTACACCCAGTGCAGCTTACAATGGTTTAGTGGTGTTGTTTCCAGTGAAAGCTGATTTCTGGTTGGAGGTTGGTATCTCCTGCACATCGCTGCACCCCCCTCTATTGGCTCTCATATTATTAAAAGTAACGTATTTTTGTCTTTAGGATCTATAACCCGACATATAGATCTGAAAGATTCGACCTTCTAACGGTTTTGATCTGTATGGAAATCTGAAATTGTGATCACAACAATTTACAATAATCCTTTTTTTTCAAATACAGTTGTTGGAATGAGCCAATCAGATATAATTGTTTAATGATTATGACTGAGGTGCTGATGTTTGAGTGGTTAGTTACCAAAGGTTATTGATCGTCAGTGCTCATTGCATCGCTTTATTAAATGAAATACAGCTGTACTCTCAGAGGAAAGGCACATAACCGTATTAGAAATGCAGGGGTCACTAAGCATACAGAAAACCTTATTTAAACCTTCTCTGGTTTTACACATGGGACGGATGTACCATAAAAACAGGAGACATTTTATTATGAATGCCTCCTACCCTGACTGCCTGTTTGAAGGGAAAGCAGAATCTCTAGCTGAAGAACGTTTAGTAAATGAGCCCTTAGGATTGGGCACACATCAAAGGTGCAATGGAGACTATTTGGAACAGTTACAGACAGAAACAGCCCAAGTAGAAGGAAGGGTCATGAGTGCAGAACTGGCATATTGTCATATGCTACCACCAGAACCTACAGAGATATAGATAAACACTTTTATGCAAGAAGATGTCTTGTCGTCCATATCAACCAATCACAAATCTTGTGTAACTTTCAACTCTGCTCAGAAGAAATGACAGTTGGGAACTGACTGGTTTCTTTGAGCCACAATAAATCTTCCATTTTATAACCTTTCCATACATTAGTTAATGGGACCGATTAACTAAGGACACAATCCGACTTTAAGCTGTGTTCCCTTCAAACATACTATCAGATTCAGATAACATGTTCATTTTTTAGCTCTCTTGATTGTATCTGAAGCAAATAGAGGCTGCGGTAGAAATTACTTGTTAAATAAATCCTTATTGTGATGAATTAGGCTTCACAAAGCTATAGCACAGGGGTAAGATGTTAATTTTAGCCATGTCACTGTCATTTTAATATCTTGTTGGATTAAGCTGAAAAAAACAGTCACTCTTTTTGAAAACAAGGATCCTTATAGTATGTTAGCTTTGTGAATTGAGTCTATTCACCCTTACAAGACACGTGGCCCAGCTTGGCTTGTTTGTATTTTATAGGCCCGACTTATGGATTTATTTTGCTCTGTCTGGCAATGTGTTATTACTACTAGCTTCCCCATGATTCAGAATCTACATTTTGAGCTGCAGCCATTTCCCACACAGCCCTCGTGCGTGGTGACATCCCCATCCCTCCACACAATGCTACAAACCAGACTGGCAGGCTAAATGAGGAGCCGATCTCCATCTGCTTCATCCCATTCAGCACTGCTGTCTGTGCTAGTGACATTCCACTTACCAAGCAGTAAACACTAAGCTTTCCTTGTCAGCATGGTTTAATATTCAATAGAGCTATTAAATGATAACTAATGCTGAGGGAGAGAAGACTGGAAGACAAATAAGAAAACAGGAAACACTTGTCAACTACAAATAAGCGATCGGGGACTCTGGTACTAATAAAGGCGAAAATTCTGACTATAGCTCAGTGGATCTGCGAGCGTTACAAAAAATGAGAAATAGTTGTTTGTCAGCATTGTTTAATATTCAATAGAGCTATTAAATGATAACTAATGCTGAGGGAGAGAAGACTGGAAGACAAATAAGAAAACAGGAAACACTTGTCAACTACAAATAAGCGATCGGGGACTCTGGTACTAATAAAGGCGAAAATTCTGACTATAGCTCAGTGGATCTGCGAGCGTTACAAAAAAAGCAAATCAGTTCAGAAGAAAACTCTCAACATCCAGAGGATGATACATCCTAACTTGGATCATAACTTGGGATAATACATATGTGTGTATACACACCTATGTAACTGTAATGTATGTATGATATTTATATGATCGATCATATGTGTACATACATATATTGCAATATCTTTATAATAGAGATTGGACATACTGTACATATATGCTCACACAATATATATATATATA